AAATCCTTCGATATTCTCTCATTGTCAGTGCGTCGAAATCAGAAATCAGAAACTCAAATTCTCAGTTCGTCGAAATCAGAAGCTCAATTTCAAATTGTAGAAATTACTTCTACAAATCTCAGAAGCTCTGTTCTTCGTCTTTTTCTGTAAAATTCTGTTCTTCATCTTTTTCTGTCATTGTAATCGGTTTAATAAGTATTTTCTTTTATGGTTCATATTCCGGATTGGTCTCATCCCTGTAGTAATCGAATGAATTGAGTCGTCAACATGAAAGCGTAAGAACTCCAAAAAAAACAAAAAATCGACAAAAAATTGAAAAATACCTCACCAACGTCACGCAATCATGTCCAAAATCCCAATAATGCTACATTTTAATGGAGATTGGGATAGCTATGGCAGATTTAGAGATTTTCAAGTTGATGGCATTGTGCTCGATGAGGATGCAAGTTACAGTATGTTGATTTCTACAATTGCAGAGCAATTAATGATTGATACTTCAGAAGAAATTGTAGAAATCAAATACATTGTGAATGAGAATTGTCGTCCAATGGAGATTAAGAACAATATGGGGGTTAGTGTGTATATGGAGACAAAAAAGGAGAATAAAAACTTAGGATCGCATCCGTTACTCATAAGTGTACCAGATTTCAATATGGAATTGGCTATTACAAATGAGAACACAAGTGCAGGTTTGTTATGATTCAAATTCTATGGAAGTCTAATTTTAGGATAATACCTAAAAAAATTCCTACATTTATCTACAAATCAATTTTAGGAGGTATAAAGCAATATAGTTTTCATGATTATCAACACCATTACTACATTTAGACTACAATTAAGCTACAATCCATGTTGAAAAAAAATTAACTACAAAATTTCTATTCATCTACAATTTATCTACAAAGATTCTACAATGTTGTAATGCCACTGTTTATCTTTATTTTCATGCAGATTCGTCCGGGATAATACAGTTACTTGATATGCTAGCCTCTCCCGTTATAGAGGAATATCAAAGTGAAATAATAACTGAAGGTACACAAAGTGTTATCGAAGAAGGACAAGTTTATCAAGACAAGCAAACAATTGCAAATGCAATGAGGCACTATTCTGTCACGCACAAGTTCCAATTCAGGGTTAAAAGATCTAGCCACAGAAGGTATGAAGATATTAATGGTGAAAAGATCATTATAAACAGTTTTTTCCTTGTGATATGTAGATGAAAAGTAGTTCTATTGTATAGTGTGCTACTTTATGTTAAAATGGTGCTTTTGTTACATCTACATAGATAACCTTTATTATAAATGTATTTTTTTGTAGCTACTGGCTTATATGCGTTGCAGAAAACTATAATTGGCACTTCAAGGCAACATCAATTAATGATTCTGCAATGTTCAAGATCAGGAGTTTCAACCAACAACACACATGCACCTTAATGGACGATACATTCATACAGTGCAAACGTACTGCAGTTGTAGTTGGTAGCATGGTCATGCCAAAGTATTGTGATCCTAAGACAATTTACACAGCGAAGGACATACAAACTGACATGTTATCCCAACACGGAGTGAACCTAAGCTACATGCAAGCATGGAGGACAAAGGAAAAGGCTTTACAGTTATTGAGAGGTCATCCGGCTGACTCCTAGAACAAATTACCAAAATATTTTTATATTCTTGAGAAGACGTATCCTGGTTCAGTTGTTAAATTGAAGAAGACAACAGATGAATGCTTCTTATATGCATTTGTTGCTCTTTGTACATCAATAAGTGGTTGGGAATATTGTAGACCAGTAGTAGTGGTTGATGAGACATTCTTAAAGACATCCTACAGGGGAATTATGCTGACAGCAAGCACAATGGATGCAGCAGTTAAAATTGTAGTTATTTTGTGGTTATTTTGTAGGCAGTTTATAAATTGTAAAAACATTGTAGAATCTTTGTAGATATATTGTAGTTTATATGTATTTGTGTTTTTATATGCATTTTCAAAGCTGCCAGTTAATTAATTTTTTTATTAATAATGTAGGAACAATATTGCCTTTGGCATATGCAGTGGTTGATTCGGAAAACGACGCATCGTGGAAGTGGTTTTTTGAGCAATTCAAGCAAGCATACGGTGAAAGAACTGCAATGTGTGTTATTTTAGATAGGAATGAGAGTATCCTGAAGGCAACATCAATTGTCTATTCGGGCGTGCCACACTACTCTTGCGTGTGGCATATTTGGACAAATATAAGGGCAAAGTTCAAGAAGGGTCATCTACAATTAAATGAATTGTACTTTGCTACAGCAGGGTCATACACTATAGATGAATTTAATGAAAGGGTGTCGAAGATTGAAGAGATAGACCCTCGTGTTAAATCATACCTCTATGATATTGGCTATCATAGATGGTCAAGAGTACATGCAACGGTGAATAGAACTTGGACTATGACATCAAACATTGCAGAGTCGTTGAATGCTGTAACAAAATATGCAAGAGAGCTGCCAATATTTGACCTATTAGAGTATATGAAGGACACTTCTTGAACGATGGACGAAAGAGAAATTGTTGAAGGCAAAGGGTACTTTCACATACCTTGGGTACAAATTCAACCAAGAATTGGAGAAAAACAGTACATTATCTCAGAAACTTAGGATAAGATCTCTTTATTTTGTGCAGAATAATAATATTTTAATATACAATGTTTCCATATTGTAGATAAATTTTAGACAAACTGTAGTTAATTTGTAGATGGTAGATCATTTGTATATAAATTATAGATAATGTATTTTTATGATTGTAAATATTTTTCTTTCTGTTTGTTATGTAATTGTAGGTGAGGGCTTCAACAGATCATATCCATACTGTGATAGATGTGAAGCGGTACATTGTGTGCCTTGAAAATAAGAAATGTACTTGTGGCCAGTTCCAACTTGATGAACTTCCATGTGCGATGCTTTGGCAGCTTTAAGGGACAAGAATGAAGGATATGAAAACTATTGCTCGCCGTATTACACAAGGGAGAGCCTACTTCGTACATATGAAATACCAGTAAATCCCCTTCCTGATGAAAGCAAATGGAATGTGCCACAACATATATCTGATGAAGTAGTAAATCCACCTACGGGAGAGAAAAAGCAGCCAGGAAGACCTCAAAAGGAAAGATACAAAACATATGATGAACTAAAGTCAAAGAAGTACAAGGTGTCATGTGGAAACTGTGGAGGTGAAGGGCATAACAAAAGATCTTGCAAGAATGCACCCAAAAAAATATATCATATAGTTAGGATAGTATTTCAAAATAATTGTTAGTGTGTTCAAGTTAACAGAATTTTGTGTGTAATTGTTTGAGATTTTGAAGATTAAAAATGTAGTTAACTTCAATTTGTTTCTGTGTTTGTTAACATGTTTTTCTGTATTGTGGCAAGCATCTACCTCTATTTTTTACATTCTTTACATAGCAGTTAATATTTATTATCTACAATATAACTACAAGTTTTAAGAAATTAATTTAACTTGAACTGGCAGTTATATACAGAAATTAAATACAACTGGAGGTAATTCCCTACAAATTATATACATATTAAACTATAAAATTATATACAATCTGAACATTCAATGTTTACAGATTGTGGATAATTTGAAGTTTTTTTGTAGATAATTTGTATTCTGACAACATAACAACTACATTTAAGATAATGAAGAACAAGTGCAGTAAATATTAAACAACTAGAAATATTAATTTCAAGTGACCTACTAAAATTGATAGAAATTAACTAAACAAAAGGTCTGCTACAATAAAAGCACAAAGGAATTGTTCAGAAAGTTGAGTACTACACTTATCCTACAAACTAGCATCGACTAAATTACATAGACATGACATTACTTCTTCTTTCTTTGTACTCTTGTTTTCTAATTCAATGCAGATGCACCCTTCCTCCTTGCTAGTCTGCCTGTAACCTCACTTTCACTGATTGACCCATCTTCTTGCTTTTTTGTTGCATAATCCCACAGGAGCGCTCCATAGCATCTACGATGTTGGTCAATATCAGAAAGGTCTTCTGCGGGAATCGACAAATCTCCAAGGCTAACATACTCCGCAAAGGCAGCAAGAAATACACCACAATCGCTGCAGAATACAAAATTTAAACAATATTTAACAAATGATTAGAAATAAAAAAGGAATTAAATGCATAGAAAGAGAGAATAGAATTTTTACAGTGATCCTTCTTTTTGCTGTGGAATCTCTCCAACGAGCCACTGAATGTTAAGAGGGTCGGTAACTGATTTTTTGATGTATGCCTTTGTTGTCTTGAAGTTAATGTCTTTACGCTTCCCATAGAAACCAGTGCATGACAAATACAAGGGATAATNCACATTTGAGTTCCTTGGATCAATTTCCAGTTGGTTTCAGCAATTGTCTCAAATCTCTGGCTAGTTTAAAGAGGGAAACAACTTGAAAATCCTTGTGTTTGGTTGACTGAAGTTTCAGAAGTGTTCTGGGATTAAATTCGAGTTAGTTTTGGGTATATGTGAACTGTTTTGGGTGTGTCATTGATTAAAAGTGGGCTTGGATGGTTGATATGGTTTTCTGGGCTTATGGACCTCTGATATGTGCTGCTGAACTGCTGTGAAAGTGCTAATTCCTGTTGCTCTGATTCACTGAACTGCTGCTGACATTCCTCTTTTCTCTATTACTTTACACTTCCAGGTACACATTTGAACCATGTATTGATGTAGCTTTGACGTTGAAATGCTGAAATGAAATACATCATCCATTGGCCTCCTGAAATCCATGTGTTCAAGCTGCCATAATGAAATAGATAATAGATGATTTGTATTTGTTTAGGTCTTCTTTTGATTTGCATTTACATTGTATAACTGGACTGAAACTGGGCTGTATTGGACATATATTGGATGGGTGAGCTACGGGCTTGTGCTTGCTCGTTTGAACTGTTAGTATCGTGTTTGTGTTTAGTATAATAATATCGGGTGTTAGCTAATTCATAAGGTTAAAAATGACGCGAATTAGGACCGGTTTCTTGGAAATGCTGTTTGGATAATCGTTGTTATTTGTAGGTTAGTTGATTTAATTTTAAAGGTACATTACTCAGAAATCCAGGCTGAATCGCTGTCTATTAATTGAAGTTTAAGTTGGCATATATAATCCTATAAGCCTGAAGTCCAATTGATTCTTTGGTTTTAGTCTATTCACGTTTGGTTGACATTGCAATGTGCAGAGGTTCACTTAAAAGGAACGAATTAACATGATAAGATAGGCTGCAAACATTATTCGAAATAGCCATTGCTGTTTATACCAGATTTCAACGCATAATTGAATTTGTTCAGGATAGATCAACTGAAGTTTGCAGGCTTTGATTTTGTATTTGGCCTAAAAAGTGTTAGCCCGCCTCAAATTAAAAGTGATACTGGGCTTTTGGGTTTGTCAATGGCCTAAGCGGCCCAGTCTTTTAAAAATGAAACCTGGGCTGCTTTGGAACTTTGCTGGAACGTCCTGCCTCACTTGTTCAGTTGCTAGGCCCAATTGTTGGAGATTGAATTATGGAATTTTAGACCTTTCACATCCGCTAATTAATTAGGGTTCTTCTTTTAGAGACAACTTAAGTAGAAAAGTGTAGTTTGCTTTTAGGTTGGCCTTTGATAATAAAATGAGATGAGCCTCGCTAAATAAAACACATAAATCGTGGGGCCCTCAATAAATGGTTGTATTAAAATACTTAGATTTCGGGACGAGCCGTTTGGCGAATTTCACGGTTTTCCCCAAAGATGATAACGCGTAGTGCTTTAGGCGCGTATTTTAATAATATTACTTTCCTAAGTTCGGGTGTACATTTATGTGACCCAAATCTAAATCTCAACGGAGTCGAAATGCGTCAAAAGCCACGGGTGCACTAGTGTAACGTGGTTCGAGATACATTTTCACGACGTTGCAATTCTTATTAAAAAGACATAAAGTAAAAGCGGTTAAAATAAAGGCACATAGGTAAGGATATGTTTTAAAATCATATAAGAGCAAATACAACAGTTGAGCGACCGTGCTAGAACCACGGAATCCGGGAGTGCCTAATACCTTCTCCCGGGTTAACAGAATTCCTTACTCGGAGTTCTGGTTCGCGGACTGTTAACAGAGTCATAATTTCCTCGGATCGGGATTCAACCGGTGACTTGGGACACCATTAATCTCCCAAGTGGCGACTCTGAATATTGATAATAAAGCTCGTTCCGACCATCCTTTAATTGGAAAAACTCCTTTACACCCTCACAGGTGTAGAAAAAAGGGAGGTGTGACAGTAAGATCTCTTTATTTTGTGCAGAATAATAATATTTTAATATACAGTGTTTCCAGATTGTTGATAAATTATAGACAAACTGTAGTTAATTTGTAGATGGTAGATCATTTGTAGATAAATTATAGACAAGTTGTAGATAAATTGTAGATAATCTATTTTTATGATTGTAAATATTTTTCTTTCTGTTTGTTATGTAATTGTAGGTGAGGGCTTCAACAGATCATATCCATACTGTGATAGATGGTGTGAAGCGACACATTGTGTGTCTTGAAAACAAGAAATGTACTTGTGGCCAGTTCCAACTTGATGAACTTCCATGTGCGCATGCTTTAGCAGCTTTAAGGGACAGGAATGAAGGATATGAAAACTATTGCTCGCCGTATTACACAAGGGAGAGCCTACTTCGTACATATGAAATACCAGTAAATCCCCTTCCTGATGAAAGCAAATGGAATGTGCCACAACATATATCTGATGAAGTAGTAAATCCACCTACGGGAGAGAAAAAGCAGCCAGGAAGACCTCAAAAGGAAAGATACAAAACATATGATGAACTAAAGTCAAAGAAGTACAAGGTGTCATGTGGAAACTATGGAGGTGAAGGGCATAACAAAAGATCTTGCAAGAATGCACCCAACAAAAATATCATGTAGTTAGGATAGTATTTCAAAATAATTGTTAGTGTGTTCAAGTTAACAGAATTTTGTGTGTAATTGTTTGAGATTTTGAAGATTAAAAATGTAGTTAACTTCAATTTGTTTCTGTGTTTGTTAACATGTTTTTCTGTATTGTGGCAAGCATCTACCTCCATCTTTTACATTCTTTACATAGCAGTTAATATTTATTATCTACAATATAACTACAAGTTTTAAGACTATATACAGAAATTAAATACAACTAGAGGTAATTCCCTACAAATTATATACATATTAAACTATAAATTATATACAATCTGAACATTCAATGTTTACAAATTGTGGATAATTTGAAGGTTTTTTGTAGATAATTTGAATTCTAACAACATAACAACTACATTTAAGATAATGAAGAACAAGTGCAGTAAATATTAAATAACTGGAAATATTAATTTCAAGTGAACTACTAAAATTGATAGAAACTAACAAAACGAAAGGTCTGCTACAATAAAAACACAAAGGAATTGTTCAGAAAGTTGAGTACTACACTTATCCTACAAACTAGCATCGACTAAATTACATAGACATGACACTACTTCTTCTTTCTCTGTACTCTTGTTTTCTCATTCAATGCAGGTGCACCCTTCCTCCTTGCTATTCTGCATGTAACCTCACTTTCATTGATTGACCCATCTTCTTGCTTTTTTGTTACATAATCCCACAGGAGCGCTCCATAGCGTCTACGATGTTGGTCAATATCAGAAAGGTCTTCTGCGGGAATCGACAAATCTCCAAGGCTAACATACTCCGCAAAGGAAGCAACAAATACACCACAATCGTTGCAGAATACAAAATCTAAACAATATTTAACAAATGATTAGAGATAAAAAAAAAGAAATTAAATGCATAGAAAGAGAGAATAGAATTTTTACAGTGATCCTTCTTTTTGCTGGGGAATCTCTCCAACGAGCCATTGAATGTTAAGAGGGTCGGTAACTGATTTTTCGATGTATGCCTTTGTTGTCTTGAAGTTAATGTCTTTACGCTTCCCATAGAAACCAGTGCATGACAAATACAAAGGAATAATAACTGAAAACTTAGTGACACAGGATTCAACAACTTGATGGTTGAGTGAAGAGACCATGGAATCATACACATAAAGTTGCCTGTCTGCAATGTCAAAAACAACCAACACTCAATAGAATTTTTCTACAATATAGACGGGCATGATCACATAGTCAACTTCATCCCATGCAACATTGGCAAGTAGTCTAAACCCCAAAATATATTCTGCAATAACATCTTGGGGTTTAACAACAGAATACCTCTTTTCTAGAGGTGAATTTATGAACTTTTCATAAATTTGTTCTATCCTGGTCTTGAACACACAATCCGTTGTGGTAAACCTGGTACTGTTATTGGGGCCATACTTGCCTCTTTTCCTCAAGTAATACAATAAAATATTAATGTGTTGCAACCAAAAATAATTGGCATATAAACGGCAAGTCAACTTCAAATAATCTATATATAACTACAATTAACTACAAAACAGAACCAAAACAATATAAAATGATGTCTAAGAACAGTTCTACAATTTAAACTACAAAACAACATTTAGAAATATGTCTACATCATATCTACAATTTATAGTGAAAGTCATCTTTATATATTATAGATATCTAAAAAATAAATACAATTAAACTACAAAACCGAAGACAAGATATCTACAAATCATGTATTGGAAATAGACTCCTTGATACTTACCGAGTCATTGAGGACTTGACCGGGGTGAGCCAAGGAATAGAACCATTCCTTCTTGTCAACCTTTTCAACTCCAAGGTCTAACCAAGGCTTAATTTGGTTATCCTTCATGGAATACGGAGCCTTCCTCCTGTGACAACAAATAAATGACAAAAAAAATAGTAATTTGAATTAGATATGTAAAAGATAAATGCTGAAAAGCAATTGTCAAATTATGCATTCATACCTCTTTGAACCTTTGTCAATAGAGTGGTATAACCACTTGCTGAAGTTCTCTAAAACATCCGGATCTACATTTTCACCAATAATAGTAGTAAAAGGGTGCTTTAGGTAGAAAATTTTAGGTCCAACAGAGCTGCTGCCCCCAGAACTGTATAGAGGAATAAATGGTGATCGGGCATGGTTTCCCTGATGCCTTGTTCTCCCCGGATGAATAGGTGTTGCATCTTTTGGTATGGGCTCGCCAAACAAAACTAACTGGGATAAGTTGTCAGGCAACTCAAAATCATCTAGTGTGACATCATTCATCTGAACTCCTGATCCTTCTGAACCACCTATATCAACATACTCTGCATCTGCACCTTCATTGTCATCTTCCTCGATAACATACTCGGTCTGAGCTGCTACTGTCACTCCGTGAATTGGGGACTGTGCATTGATATCTTCCATCATTGTAACACAATTCATATATTACTTAACAAGAATGTTGAAATTTATAAACAACAAGAAAATATCTCAGAATGACAGTACGATACCTGCTTTGTCTTCATCAGCTGCAACTTGAAAATGTGTATGTAAATCACCATGTGATGGAAGATTTTCTTGACCAACTGCTCCTTCAACATGTTCTGTTTTATAGTTGAAAATGGTAAATAATACTGGATAATGGTGGATTGAAAGTTGTAGCATATAAACTATTAAAATTGTAGATAATTTGTGGATAAGTGTAGATATGTTATAAAATCACTGACACAAATTGTAGATATTTTGTAGATACCTGTTTTGGTGGTGCTGGCTTGAACTTGTTCCCCAATATTGAATTGAAAATGCTCATTGTTGAAGTCTTTTTGTTGGTCATTGGTTTTTGTTGAACTTCCAGCAAACTGAATATTCTATGTTAGTTTGTATATATTTTTTCATATGTGTAAATTGTTTTGCTATAAAAATAAAGGTCAGATCTTACCTTTGCATCATCTTGCACATTTCTACTATTTATAATTTCCAAAACGGTCTCATAGAGTCATGTATAAACACTCGAAGGCTATCGAGTTCTATAAAGACAGCTTTCCTGAAATCTTCAAGCTTTCTATCAACCTACAAGTTACATTATAGTAAGTTGTTAACTTCATAATATGTCCAAACATACAATGCAAAAACATATGCTATATATATATATATATA